AGAGAGAGAGAGGAGCTTACTTGCTGAGTGGTGGTCGGTTGTACAGTAGAGACAACGACGTTGTTGTCGCTCCTATTGGTAACGCCGCCGATGACTGTGGACGTGGTGGTGGTTTCATTGCTCGCCGCATGCTTCACCCTACGACCACCTACCATCGTCGAAGGTCGGGTTTCCGTGAGAGGCTGGAAGAGAGGCTGCCATTCGCAAGTCCGCTTTATGTCTCGGGATAATAATTTCGCCTCGACGCGCAGCGACGTATTGCCGATAATAAAAAAAAAAAAAAAAAAAAAAGGGAACAGAGAGGAGGAAAGGATCTCGATAATTACGAAATTTATTTTCAAATTACTTTTCCGTTCTCTTTGCTTCTAGATGCGTCATGAGGGAGAAATTCAGCGGGAGGAAGAAAAAGTACTTTATCAATGGGAACCAATAGGCAACCGGTTTGTTAGACTAGATTTTTTTTTTTCTGATCGAGATTTATGCTCGACCGAGAAACCTAATGCTACTGCGGAGGCTGTAATATAAATTAAAACGCACTCACTGGGAGACACTTTTATCACCGGGAACTCGAATCAGTTCTCCTGTCACGCGAACGTTGTGATTTCCGCCGAAGCGCGTTGAAATCGCTTCTTCAACCTACATTTCTTTTTATTGTTCCACAACTCATCGACACATGCGCTGAAAATTATGAGAAACACGTGACAAAGCTCGATCGAGAAATTCTATTTATTATCCTAATCTGTTTTCCAACACATTCTTATCTTTACATTGAATTAAATTTTTTTCGCATTAATAAATCTACCTATTTATTATTTTAGTTTAATTATTTTATCATTTTATTTTATCTCCTCTTTTGTATCAGATATAATTTTCACACAATCTGTCACACATTTCTTTTATTTGTTACTCTCTTTCATATTATAAAAAATATTTTAATTAGCAGTGCATAAACATATTTTAACAGCTACGTTATGAGCTCTTTTGAGTGTATTCTTGAACAGATACGCATATCTTTTAAAAAGGAAAATTTTTGTTTTCATTCGTACCCTTTACCCGGCATTTTTAATCAGGCAAATGATACACAGTTCTTCCGACAGGAGCGTGTTTTGCGAGCCGAATTATCGTTCCCTCTTTTTTCCTCTCAAACTCGCCGGCGCGCCGTTAACTTCACGGTCGACGGAAATTACTCTCCAAATCCGAGGCGAAAAGCGAGCTGCACGATTCCGACGGTAAGTCTAACTTCACGGTACCCATATAAAATCGCACTTTCATCTCCGCGAACGCGCGCGCGAGTTATTTCGACGCCGTAACAGCACACCGTATTATCCTGTCATCGTGTAGCTTCTGGCCGTCCGCCAATATTTTGAACTTTCCAATGTACACCAACTTATCGATCTCCTTCGACATTTTCGGACATCTGCTTCGAGCGAGCAAAATACCTCAGAAGCCTTAGCAGACGCCACGTTCAAAATTCTGTTTTAGAACTTTTAAGCCTTTTTATCTTTAACCTTCCGGTTTTCCTTTTGTTCTTTAACTTCAGGCTTTGCAGAATTTTAAATAAGAATTAATTAACAGAATTTTAAATAAGTATCGATTGAAATGAATATTTGAAGAATTAAAAGAAATCGTGCGATTATATTTTTCCTGAAGGTTCAAGCTTGAATCATCAAGCCGGCTGTAGCTTATCAAAACGAATGGGGATGAGAGAGCAGCGATAGTTAACACGACCAATATACATAGGAGACCTCGAGATTTTGCCTCGTTACACGAGTTGGACGAAACTGGCACGAGCCGACTGGTAAATGGGCGCCGGAGTTATCGCTCCAGTTATCGAGTTTTCGTCGCTCGATT